TGATTTTGGGGTTGATGTAATGATACATGAAGGCATGAGTGCTTTTCAGGTTGTTAATGCAGAGCTCTGATGTTCCTGGGAGATCATCTGACTTATAAAGGCGGGGACTCAATGCTCTTAGGAGCTGGAAACTTTGGAAGTACAGGGCTGGCCACTTCAAGCTGTAGGAAATAAGCCCTCCCATACTCAAACTGGGTTTGGTTCCAGCAGCCCAGATACCCAGGTGTGCACCTCAGCAGTGGGCCGGGCTGCACATGGTTGCTGACTTACTCTTTCTCCTCTGCAAACTGAATTCCAGAGCCTCTGCAGATGCTTTTTTCTTACTTCTGGACTTTGATACAGCTGATGATTTTGCAAAATGGGACTTTTTCGTGTTATTTTTCACCTTTTTTTTGCAGTGGTGTTTAAAGGGCTCCACTGATATTGAATTGCAGAACTTGGTGTGGCGTGAAGTGACAAAGGAATGGATTTGCTTGGTTTATGTGTGTCTAATCTGTGACCCACAGACTTCTGTGTGTCCTCTTTTTGTATGTAACCACCAGCAGAAGGTGTCCCTCAGGTCTCCTAAAAAGCCAGACCCAAATGCTCGAGTCTTCTTCATATATCCCAATAAATTATGGCCTTTATCCAACAGAATATTCTCCTGGGATTAAAGTAGATAGATTCCGTTTACTGCTGGTAGAGTCTCTGAACTACATGTGTAAGTTGCTCCACTGGAGGAAGAGGGACAGCTTGTAGTAAAGACCTGGAATTGTCAGGAGACTGTTTTTATTACATTTTAGGAGATGCAAAGTCCTTCAGAATTCAGAGTCAAAGCAAGACTCCAGCCCTACCCACGATCCATGTAACCAGGGGGTTCCCCTTTCTGTGGGGAAAAGGGAAATTCCATAATTAAGTCTTTTGAATAATGACATGTAAGAATATATTTTTAACCTGTTCTAAAAAAAAACTCTAGAAACCAAAACTAACCAGCAAATCATCTGTACCTCCAAAACAAAATTATGATGGAATTCTTGCTAAATATATAGAGAGAGAAATAAAGAAATGTGAAAGGGGAGGATTTTTTGCCACTAGGAAAGCAGAAATGGCTGGAGATGTGGTTTATAGTTCTAGGGTAACTGTCTCTTGGCTAAGTTGGCTGTTAGGGCTAAAACCCAGCTAAAAATAAGGTGCAGAGCAGATGAGCCAGGGCAAGGCCGGGCAAGTCCCGAGGCCGTGTTAAGCCAGCGCGGAGCTGTGATCTGGTATTAGTGGTGTCCAGGCGAGGTGGTGCTGTGTCCGTGGGCTGTGCAGAGAGCAGGCTCTGGGCTGTCGCTCGGGGGCTTCTCCTCTTCGGTTGTTCAATGTCTCCCCTCAGCTTTTCATTATTAGAGAGCAATAGCACTTATTCCCAACAGGCTCGGTTTGATCCTGAGCCTTATTCCTCATCTTTTGCTTGCATGTTAGAACCTCACAGCGACATTTCCACCGCCAGCGCCATCACTACTGCATTGCCACAGGTCTAAAAGCACTTTCACCAGCAATCAGGTAAGTGCAGAGCTGTTGCAAACTGCCCAGGTGGTGTGTCAAGCGTGTTCTGCAGCACTGAGAACTCTGGAACAGGCTGAACTTCCTCCTTTCTTTTTGTATTCCCAGTTTCTGGTCATGGGATGGAAAAAGAACAGTTAATAGCTGACCTAAATTCAGGCATATTTAATTATAGTTTCCTTAAGTTCTGGCTATGTTCTGTGTGTGTTTGCTGCCAGGTATGGATAACCTGCAGTCCTAGAAAGCCTCATGCCAGGTAGGGAAGTGATGACAAGAAAATTATGGGGTAAAATCCCAGCCATTTCCACTGGAAAAGTTTATCCCGAGTTGGCTCTAAACATAGTTCAAATACATAGAGGATGATGCCTTTCTACGTGGCTCCCTGAGTGTGCCCTGGCATCGAGCCCTCGTGTGAGTGAGTGCTCAGAGCTGGTTTTGCTGACGGCGCATGGAAGGGAAGAGCCTTCCCGTGATGTCAGAGCAAGGAACACAGTGCAGGAAATCTTCCATTCTTCCCAGAATCATTGTGCAGCTGGAATTGCTCAGGTACCAGAGAAGCACATATTTCATGGAAGCAGTCAGCACTTCAAAATAGTTTGTTTTCTCTTTTAAGTCTAAGAACAAAGTGAGATGGGGTCTGTGTTTGTGGCCCATGGAGGCTGTGCATTTCACAGCTAATCCTGCAGAGCCCCAAGATTCAGACCTTCCTGTAATCCTTGTTTGTTTGTAAATCTGCCAGTCACTGTCACTCCCAAGAGTGGAAGAGAACATAAGCAGAGGTAATTCTCCAAGCTTAATGATTCTCAGGAAGGTGAGAGATACCCGGGCTTCTTATGAAGTCACAAGAACTTTTTTTCTCTCTTCATTCCTCAGTGTGGTGAAGTTGCTGGTGTCTGAACCGGCTTGCTGGCATTTTTATTTCCGTTAGGAAATGCTTTAGTGTCTGTCCTCCTCTGACACCAAGACACCTTTACAAGGGGTGACACCACCACCAAACCCTGTCTGCCACATCCTGAGACCCTCACAGGAGCAGCAGCACTTCCATGCCCACGTGGTGGACAGCATCCAGGTGATGGGGACTTGGAAATAATGGATGAATGGTTGGACTTGATCTGAAGGGCCTTTTTTAACCTCAAGGATTCTGTGGTTCTATGACAAGAGATTTGTTCTGGGTTTTTTTTTTTTTGGTTTGGTTTTTGCTAATGCTCCAATAATTGTTCCATGTGCCTTGAGGGGAATGTTAAATCCGATGTTCTCCTCTGTGTCACTGCACTGTGTTTCTGCAGCAGCAGAGCTGGCTTGCTTTGTGTTATCAAAATTTCTGAGATAATATTTATTTATTGTGAAATATCCCAGAGAGATGCCCTGCAGGGGCTTCTGGAAGCACTTCATGGATACAGCCTTGAACACACAGTGAAACACGGAGTAAAACTGTGTATTTTTATGGCCAACTGGCGCGGTTGGGGTCGCTGCAGAGACAAACTCTTTCCTCAGCCCCCAAAAACAAACAAGCAGAAGTTTTGGCAGCAGTTAAGCAAACAAACTCTCCTCCAGAGACGCTGACAGTATTAAGGCCCTGAATCCAGCGTCGAGACTGCAGGTCCCAGTGTTGGTGCTCCACATGGGAAGGGGCTCGGGGCAGGGTCCTTGGCACAGGACACATCCTTCTCACGCCACAAAACTGTGGTGGTAGCATTAGAAAGTCATTTGATGCTTCTGGAGTAAAAGGCAATTTCAGGCAATTCGTAAGAAAAGGTGAGGCAGAATGCATAACTTGCCAGAATTTTGTTTCTTAAGGACCTTATAAATCAAAGCCCACAAGTTCCAGCCCATCCCAGAACCTAATGAGGACGTGCTGTCATCGTATCTTAGCCCTGACAACCTGGGTGGTTTCTGCTGCCGATCGCTCCTAATGAGGCAGTGCCAGCAGCACCACACAAATGTTGCATGTACACAATTCTTCTGGAGATCAGTGAGAATTCTGTTGGAACTGCTTGGAATCTGCATTTGAACTAAAAGATTCTTCTTTTCTTCCCTGGTTTTTCAAAAGGCACACTTGAAAATAAGCCTCAGGAGGCAGCGACAGGACGGACTGGCCTAGTTTCCTTACTTTGAGAACTGCAGAATGGAATTTTTTAGCAGCTGCAGAAACACGTCTGTCAGTGGGGACTCTTTATACATTAACACACTCTTCGGCAAGGGACTTAAAATTGATCTCAGTTGGTTCCAAACCGATTTCTCATTAGTTTAATTTTGAATTAGTGAAGGTGTGGATCTTCCCTAGACACTTTTCCTAGCTCTATATTCAGGAAAAGGCTAAATTAAGCAATTGAGCAAGTGAGCACATAGGAGGACCATATATACAGGGATGGATTTAAGGGGCAGTGTGTGTGTGGGGGTGTGTGTGTATATATATAAGGGATAGTGCTGCTATCAGTGTCATTTGTAGCATAGAATTCAGCCCACGTGTTTTACAGTATAAAATAAGATGGTGAGTCTCCCATGTGAGCAATGCTGAGGGTTCTCTTCAGGTACAGAGAGGTTTGGCTGATGGCAGCGTTGATGGAATTAGATTTGGTCAGATCATGGCTTTTTTTAATAGCACGGAAAGAGCTGTAGTTCCATTCTTCTACAGTTACACTCCAGGAAAGATGTGCTGTAACTCAGAATAACCGTTTCCCCTGGCACGAGAGCACGGGCTGATCTGTCCCTGCTGATACCATCGGGATGTAAGTGATGCAGGTGACCAGCAAAATAAAAAAGGAAGACATAACGAGCCAGCTAATTCCAGAATGAGATTAGCACGGATTAGTCTGTCTAGCCCAAATCCCCAAACAGCCAGACTGGTTCTGTGTGCTTCTTCACTGTTGCCTCATGTGTTGTCTTTCTCCCAAGTAACAAATGTTTGGACAAGAGGAAACAGGCACAAGTTGTGCCAGGGGAGGTTTAGATTGACATGAGGGAAAATGCCTTCAGAGAAAGGGCTGTCCAGTCCTGGCACAACTGCCCAGGGCAGTGGTGTCACTATCCCTGGGGGGATTTAAAAGCCATGGGGATGTGGCATTTGGGGACATGGGTTAGTGGTGGCCTTGGCAGTGCTGTAGGAATGGTTGGACTTGATGGATTTAGGTGCTTGGCCGTGGATGCACACTGCAGCCTTTGAAACAGAGCTACTGGCAGTACGTGTAACCTGGGATTGATCCTCATTGTTTGACCCTGGAGGCACTGAAGTGCTGGGTTATGGAAAACAGACAAGAGAACGGATCAGCCGCTTGTGTTACCTGGTATTTTTTGGGCAGGGCACAGCAGTTATGGAGAGGACCCACTGCTTCACTTCTCAGCTGGGTTTCGCCTGAATGCTGTGCTTGGCAGCAATTTTTGGAAGTGGAGCTAGTCTGTGATATTCCCACTGGTGTGCTATCCCAGGGTGGGCATTCTTGAGAGCACTGACTGATACCTGACTGTCCTTGCAGGGTCCCTCCTGGGAGCACTGAGTTCCCTGCACGGCCACATGGAGCAGCAGCTGAACGAGACCCTGCGGCGCCGCCGGCACGCGGGAGACGACGACCACAACATCGAGGTGCTGCTGGGGGTGGACGACTCCGTCGTCAGATTCCACGGCAAAGAACACGTCCAAAACTACCTCCTCACCCTCATGAACATCGTGAGTATCTGCCCCAGCTTGTTTGGGAATGGGAGCTGCTCTTGGGGAGCTTTTGGAGGAGCACCTGGCTTGGGAAAAATAGCAATGGGATCATTTGGGCTGCTACTGGATATGGATTTCTCTTTTCAGGATGTTCCTTTCTTTCATCTTTTTCAGAGCAGTTTTCTAGGGCATGACACGTTCAAGGGTAATTCCAAGAATTTGGAAATAGTTGAAAAACAGTAAGGAAAAAATGTAAACTTGATCCATTTCTAGTAATTCCGAGCTCCTCCTGCAACGCAGTTCTAAAGAAAACCTGGCCAAAAAATAAACATGTAGAGAAAAAAGTGTTTTAAACCCCCTGTGGCTCTCTTGACAGAGCAAACCTCCTGGCAGTACAGGTAGAAAATCTATCTTAGAAACTGTGGGATCGTAAGGTTTTTCAGGAAAGAAAAACAGCCTCCTAAGGACAGAGATGAGGAATAGACTTCCCATTAATAATGACTTGATGGACATGGGAATGATTCTTGTATGTTTTACACTCACCTTTTCATTCCTGGAATTTTTTTTAAATAATTGCTTAGGCTTGCAAATAATCTAAATTCGAGAATTTAGAATTTGAGAGGAAAAAATTATCCCTATATGAATTTAACCCAACTAATGTGTTTTCCAGAATAACTCAGGAAATAATTTCTTTTTTCCCATGTACCCCATGGTACATCAACAATAAAGCTCCATTGCACATTATTGCAGAATACTGTCTTTCTAGTTTTAAAACCTTTATAACTCTGTGAGCAGGAGGGCTGATCCATGTCCCAAACCGCTTCCATGTTTTTTACATGCCTGAGGCTCCATCTACTGGGAGCAGCTGTAGGGCCAGAGCCAGGATGAGCTGACACCTCGCTGCCCAAAGCCATCCAGAGGATGGGATAAAAGGGGGTTATGGGGAAATCTTGAAGACTTGAAACCTTAGGTCGGTTCCAGGGTCCTTTTTGTCTCCAGGGAAGTCACTCCTGTCTCTGGAAAACTCCCTGTTGTCTCTTGGCACAGGAGAAGTTGTGAACGTTTTTCTGGCCCAGCCCTTTGTGGGAGTGATGCTTCTGCATGAAGGGAAGGAAATAGGAGAGGAATAACTGACCTTTGGGATAATTGCTGCACAGGACAGGCAGCCTGAGCTCTGTGCTCATTCCCTGTCCCACTGTCCTGCTGACACTGCTCTCAGCCCCAGGGATTGCATGTTTAAACCATGGCCTCAAATCCTCATACCCACAGTCTGGAAACCTCCCAGTGACCCTTTTCCCTGAGGGGAAGAGGGAAGTTCTGTTTAGCCAGACTGAAAAATAGAAACCCTTCTAACTCCTGCTCAAACCCACCAGCCTCTGAACAGCGGTGTTTATTTCTCACCAGTTGCCCACAGCATAATATTTATTTTGTTTTTAAGGGGATGAGGAGCTTCATTGAGGACCTGCAGATGTTTCACACTCTGGTGCCAGGATATTTCTCACCTTCCCAGACACAGGGAAGGGCCTCAAAGAAAGACAATTTTTGGTCCATCTGCATAATTCTGTTTTTCTAACTTCCACAAGGCCTCTTTCTAGTACAGAAGTGACCACAGAATTCTCATTGATCTTGAAAAAGTAGGGCAGCAGCATTAATTGCTTTCTAAAAAAACTACGCTTCAAAACAAGAAGCACTGGAAGTGTTCCAGGCTGGGTTGAGCGGGGCTTGGAGCAACCTGGTCTAGTGGAAGGTGTCCCTACCCGTGGCAGGGAGGTGGAACGGGATGAGCTTTAAGGTCTCTTCCAACCCAATGCAGTCTGGGATTCTGTGATTTGCAGCGTTTGAACTTCAAGTCTTTTCCCCGGTCCCCTTTTCTTTGGGCCCTGATCCATGAAACTTAAAAGGGAACCTTGACATGTGCTTCCTAAAGTTCCATATGAGGGGGTATGTGTTGATGGGAAGGGAGTCTACATTCCTCAATGTGTGGAAATGATCCGAGACTTGAATCCTCCTCTGAGAGGACTGTAGTGGAACAAGCACTTGAAATAACTACTCCGTGGCCTTGGAAGTTCCTTTGGTGCCATCAGTGGGTTGTTTTCTATTTAATTTTCCCTCTTTTCCCCTCAGGTGAATGAGATTTACCACGACGAGTCCCTGGGCGTTCACATCAACGTCGTGCTGGTCCGAATGATCATGTTGGGGTACGCCAAGGTCAGTGAGCCGGCTCTGCACCTTCATCTCCTGGGCAGAAAATCCACAGTCGTGTGGATTCCCTGCCTGTGGGTGGAGCTGCTGGGTCTGAGGTGTTGCTCCTTCAGTCCATCAGCCTGATCGAAAGGGGGAACCCCTCGCGCAGCCTGGAGAACGTGTGCCGCTGGGCCTATCAGCAGCAGAAGGCGGACCCCGGCCACGCCGAGCACCACGACCATGCCATCTTCTTAACCAGGCAAGATTTTGGGCCCGCTGGTATGCAAGGTAATGCAGCTGACCTGGAGCAGAGCTCTCTGGGCTCGGTGTTTCTTGGCTGGTGTCTGCCAGAAAAGAGGAAAAATTGGGAATTGCGTTGTTAGCGCTTCCTGCTGTTCGTTCCACAGGCTTTTTCAAAAGCAAGGAGACCTTGCCATGAGTCCTTGCCCTTTATGTGCAACTGTAGGTTTAATTTTTTTACTTGAGAGTTGTAAATAAACACCTCTTTACTCTCTCCAAGTTCCTATGTGTGCAGGCAGCACTGGGAACATTCGGTATACTTGGTGTTCCACTTCCCTTTATATTATTGCATCCTTCACTGCAGATTTCTGTTTATAGACATCCCAGCCACTTTGACACCTGCATCCATCTTTGGGACTCAGGGAACTAATGCTAATGGGCAGGATTCCCCAGGTGTGGGTTGTATCAGGGCAGGCACGGGTCAGGCTGAGAAGCTGGGCAGGCTGCCCTGGACTCAGAGAAATTATAGCTTTTCCTGAGGAAAAAGAAGTTTATTGGGGGGTCTCATTTAAAATCCACATCCTGGGCACAAGACTCAGCCCTGGTGTCTCTCCATAGGATACGCTCCTGTGACGGGCATGTGCCACCCGGTCCGGAGCTGCACCCTCAACCACGAGGACGGGTTTTCGTCAGCCTTTGTTGTTGCTCATGAGACTGGGCACGTGTAAGTGTAACTTTTACAATCAGATCACAACAAAACGTGGTGCTGCACCTCCTGCTTGCTCCAAGGGGGTTGGGTTTAATGGCTCTATGGAAGCTGTCCTGGTTTTATTTCCATCCCCTGGGAATGCAGCAGTGGTTGAGGCAATGAAGAGACAAGTGGTGGAAGAAAAGAAGGGGAGAGAGAGGGGGAACTTGTTTTCTCTGGGGTGAGGGGAAGGTCAGGAAGGCACCTGGGAGGCCCAGCAGAGACAGGAGCTGGCTGTTTGTCCTTCACTGCTTTCTCCTCCCCAGCTGCCTGTGCTGGCGAGTCAGACTTGGCACCTCTTGGAGAGCTGTTTCCTTACAGTTGTGTCCCAGTGGCTCTGAGAGGTATTCTTTGTTCCAGGCTGGGCATGGAGCACGACGGGCAAGGGAACAGATGTGGGGACGAGACGGCGATGGGCAGTGTCATGGCCCCCTTGGTGCAGGCCGCCTTCCACCGCTACCACTGGTCCCGCTGCAGCGGCCAGGAGCTCAGGAGATACATCCAGTAAGGCCTCCCCGCTGCACCCGGCTCTGATCCCTGTTTTTCCAGGCCCTTTTTCCCTTCAAATCTGTGTCAGAAAGGCTCTAACCCATGAACGCTGTGTGCTTGTAGGGGGCTGTCCCACAGCCCATCTGCTGGGGATGGGAAGGCAGTGGAAAGACCCCTCTGACTCCAGTGGGATTTGGAATAGGCCTCTGATTGTCATAGAATCCCAGAATGGTTCAAGTTGGAAGGGATCTTAAAGCTCATGTGTTTCCAACCCCCTGCTATGGGCAGGGACACCTTCCACTAGACCAGGTTGCTCCAAGCCCTGTCCAACCTGGCCGTGACCACCTCCCAGGGCGGGGCAGGAATTAGGAGTATACATTTGTTCATGCTGTTTTTTTTCCGTGTCTCTTCCCACAGTTCTTACGACTGTCTGCTCGATGACCCTTTTGAGCACGACTGGCCCAAGCTTCCTGAGCTGCCAGGCATCAACTATTCCATGGACGAGCAGTGCCGCTTCGACTTCGGTGTGGGCTACAGGATGTGCACAGCGGTACGTCCTGGGGGGGTCTGGCCTGACTGGGGAGCTGCAGTGTGTCATAACTGAATAATAATCATTGGGGGGCAGTTAATGGAGTATTTAAACAGAGCTCTGAAGAGCAGAGGGATACTTATGGGGGAAAGCCAATCCTGTGGGATAATGGGCAAGTAGGTGGCAGCACAGTCCACGTGCCACAGACTGGTGGGAGTGATCCCGAGGAAGAAAAGGAAAAAAACCCCTCAGTTTCCTCCCACTTCTGGCTGTCTCCTTTCTTGTCACTGGCTCAGGGCTGGGGGATGCAGGGAATAAGCACTGCCCTGAAGATACAGGACTCACTGGTGTGTGTGAGATGGATTGACGGAGTGGGTTGGATCCTTATCCCAAAAACTGTAAGTAACTTCAGGTTCTGCATTTCATCTTCTGCCTCTTGTGGGTTTCAGTTCCGAACCTTTGATCCGTGCAAGCAGCTGTGGTGCAGCCACCCCGACAACCCCTATTTCTGCAAGACCAAGAAAGGACCTCCCCTCGACGGCACAGAATGTGCCCCTGGAAAAGTGAGTCTGGGCTTTTGCACCGTGTTTGGCTTGGGGAAAAAAACCAACAGTGTTTTTCATCTGAGGTGAAGGGCACAGAGAGAAACAGAGGGAATTGCTCAGCCTCTCTTGGGTTGAGCGAGAGGATGGGAAGAGAGGGGGCTGTGCTTTCCTACTAGGATATTCCATGAGCTGTGCAGGGTCTGCTGTCACATGTTTTGGGCATAGAAACCCCAATGGAGGTGTAACCCATTCTGTGACCCTTTTGTTATGTTTTTTGGGTTCTTTCCTGCAGAGTGTCCATCAAGTGTCTTTAGGAATCCAGGGAAGCAGATGATGCCATTCCTGTGGGGTGGCTGCTCAGAGCTTGTGGTCCAGACCCCATGTGGCAAATGTTTGTGTAGGCTGAGGAGTAGCACTTGATTTTTCTCTTTAATATCTCCATTAGTGAGTGTCCTACTGCCAATCCATTTTTAGTTATAAAATTATACTCAAATACTTCTTTTTTTAGCAAATTCCCTGTATTTTGGGGTATCGGAGAGTCACTTTTACAATCTGAGTGTGCCCCAGGCAGCAGCAAAATGTTCCTGTACTGTGATGATGTGTTTGATTTGGGCTTTGTGTCTGTTCTCACCTGTTTCTTGCCCCAATTACCTCAGTGGTGCTACAAAGGTCACTGCATGTGGAAGAACACCAACCAGCTGAAGCAGGATGGACACTGGGGACCCTGGACCAAGTTTGGCTCCTGCTCCCGGACCTGTGGAACTGGGGTTCGCTTCCGCACGCGCCAGTGCAACAACCCAATGTAGGTCTGGGGGTTGCACCCTCCTGGGGGTCTGGGGAGGGGCCATTTGAAATGGTAATTAGGGTTCGGGTGGAGATTCTGTTCAAGACCCTGGAAATTGGACCATTTTCATGGAATCAAAGAATTTCACAGAATCATAGAATCATGTAATGGTTTGGGTTGGAAGGGACCTTAAAACCCATCCAATTCCAAACCTGCCCTAGACATGGACACCTTCCACTAGATATAATTATATACTTTTTTTTTTAATACAGTAGAGCTACATTACATTAATTATTATTAACTGTACACCAGAACTGTATGAAGAGTACATGGAGTTCTATTTATTTTTTTTATGTGACATATTTCTAGGGGTTTTGGGCTCTGTAAAGAATTAAATGGGAAGCAAGCCTTGGAATGTAATAGAAGTGGGTGTACACATCATACAGAGGGAGAGGTTGTAAATAATATGTATTAGTCATCCTGGAAATTGTCAGAAAGAGTACCAAGCCCCCCAGGGTGCTCAGAATCGCACTGGAACTGTGGGATAAATGGATATAGAGTTTTACTCTCGAAGGAACTATGGGAAAGGCTACAATTTTAACCTGAGTAAAACCTATCTCAGAAGCCAGGCTTAAATTACCTGAAAATAAATCTGATTTTCTGAAAGATGAGGACCCCATAAGTTAAATTTCACCTAAACAGAGCCTTACTCCCCTCACAAGGAAGAATTTCTCCCTAATGAGAATCTCTGGAATGTTTTCTCCGCACAGGCCCATCAACGGAGGTGACGACTGCGCCGGGGTCAATTTTGAGTTCCAGCTGTGCAGCACCGAGGAGTGTCCGAAGCACTTTGAGGACTTCAGGGCACAGCAGTGCCAGCAGCGCAATTCCCACCTGGAGTTCCGGGGCAGCCGGCATCACTGGCTGCCCTACGAGCACCCCGACCGTGCGTCCTGCTCTGAGCCTTTAGTGCCACTTGAAAGGGTTTGAAGCCATTCCCCTTGGCCTGGATATCTCAGGGACAGGCCCAGAACTCCCAGAAAAGCAAATTAGTTGGTTTTTCCCCCTACCCCTTCTGTTTGTTTTGTCTGAAAATCACCAGTTTGGCCCTAAAGCCCAGATTTCAATCCCCAGATTCCCTGCTCTGACCCAGATTTCCAATTTTAAACCGAAATTACTCATTTCCCACGCAAAATTGCCCATTTATCCCTAAAATTGACACTTTTGACCCTAAGTTCCTCAGTTATGTCTAAAAATCACCAGATTTGCCCTAAATCCCTGATTTTAACCTCCAATTTCCCTCTAACCCACATTTGCCTTTTTTACTTTTAAATCCCCCCATTTTCCCCCAAACATGCCCCTTTATTCCCAAAATTGACCTTCTTGCTCCAAAATTGCAGAATTACATCCAAAATCATGAGGTTTGTCCTAATTTCCAATTTTACTCCCAAATCCCCAGTTTTACCCCCAAATTCCCCAGTTTATCCCTAAAATTCACCTTTATGACTCCAGAATTGCCGATTTATATCTAAAATTGACCACAAGTTTTGCCCTAAATCCCCGGGTTTCCTCCCCAGATCTCCCCATCCCACCCAAACTTCCCCATCTCCCCCAAATTCCCCACTTGTTCCTCCCCAAACCACCCTGTCCCACCGCTCTGGCCCCGTCCCCATTCCCAAACCTGCCTGTCCTTTCTCACTCCTCGCTCTGTCAGCGGGATATTTTTTGGGAGCACACCTGGATCACTGTCCATCCATGCAGTTCCTTCTCTTCCCTGGCTCCACAGCTCCCAAGAGGTGTCACCTGTACTGCCAGTCCAGGGAAACAGGGGATGTGGCTCACATGAAGCAGCCGGTGCATGATGGGACTCGCTGCTCCTACAAGGATCCCTACAGTATCTGTGTCCGTGGGGAATGTGTGGTGAGTGGCAGCTGCTCCAGGGGCAACCAATGGGAACAGCTCAAGGGCAGAGAGAGACTTTGCAGATGTCTCTAAATTCCATATTTGCGGCATCGCGTTCCTCTTAATTCCTGGAGATTTAAATTAAATTAGAGAACAGCACAGACCAGTCCCGTGGAAATGCTCCACTTCTCTTCCACTGATTGTTTCGTATTATGGAATCCCAGACTGATTTGGGTTGGAAGGGACCTTAAAGCCCATCCAGTGCCACCCCCTGCCACGGGCAGGGACACCTTCCACTAGCCCAGGTTGCTCCAAGCCCCGTCCAACCTGGCCTTGGACACTTCCAGGGATGGGGCAGCCACAGCTTCTCTGGGCAACCTGTGCCAGGGCCTCACCTCCCTCACAGGGAAGAATTCCCTCCTAATATCCAGTCTTTCCCTTTTTTCTGCAGAAAGTGGGCTGTGACAAGGAAATTGGCTCCAACAAGGCTGAGGATCAGTGCGGGGTCTGCGGCGGGGACGACTCCCACTGCCGGACTGTGAAGGGGACCTTCACCCGCACCCCCAAAAAGCTCGGTAGGAATAACATCTGCCTGCAGCTGGACGGAGTTCCTGGGGGCTCTGGGCTCTGTGTCACGCTCATGGACATGGGATAATGCCAGAGTCCTTCAAACTTTGACAGTAATGGGCTTAACACCACCCCTTGATCCCATTAAGGGTAGGCTGCTGCTCATCAGCCCCTGACTACGGGTGGATATGGAAGTGGTGGAGGTGTTCAGGGAATGCTGGTTGCTTTTCCCTAACTTTGGCAATCTGGTCATTAAAAAGACTAATAGACCTCTTCCAACAGGGAAACATTTAAGCAAGAAGTGCCAAAAAGAGTTTTGCGTTTCTGGAAAATGAAATCTGCAAGTATGCAACTTAAAAGTCCCCCACAGATTGTCACTGGTCCGACTTCCACTGACTGGTCACCTTGGCCAGATGTGTCCAGATGCACTGTAAATGCATTTGACCACAATGTAAATTATATTTTATGCTGGTAAAGTGACCCCCAGTCACTGGAATGACTGGATTGGTCTCCCAGGGCATTAATTCCGAGCGTTCTGTTTAAGGGAAGAGCAGAGGATTCCTTCCCTTGCCCAGAGGAGCTCACAGTGTTTCCCTGTCTGGGACAAAGGAGGCAGAAAACACACTGGGTCAGTGCAAGGGCTTCTAACCCAACAGCCTGGCTGAGGAGTAATTTGGGAAAATTGTGAGGAATATTTGTGTTTGTGCCCTCACGTGCTGAGGAACACGGGGAACATCTTTTTACCTGAGTTGTGGATAGATCCAGCCTGTAGCAGCATGGCTGTAAATATTAAACTGATCCTAGCTGGGAAGTGGCAAATTGTTCTGTAACTGGTGTCTCTTCTCTCCCTGGAAGAGAAGAGCCCAGGGAGGGCTTGTCCCACATGTTCCAAACCGATTGGCTCCGTGTCTCCCAGCCCTGCTCTTCGGTTGCTGGTGGATCCCTCTCCTGCAAGCAGAGCTGGGCCGTGCCCTGCGCTCCTGACCATGGCTGTTCCTTTCTCTTTCCATCCCTGCTGCCTCCACTGACCCTGCACGTGCCAAAGGGTACCTTAAGATGTTTGATATCCCTCCTGGGGCTCGACATGTGTTTATCCAAGAAGACGAGGCCTCTCCTCACTTCCTTGGTAAGTGTTTCTCTGCTCAGGTTTGGTTTGAGCCCCGAGGAGAAGCACAGGGCGCTCTTGAGGGAGAACCCGAGGGATGAGAGAACCCAGAGAAGGGGTTGGGTAAATGTGGGCTTTCCAAATGGCATGGTCAGGGCTGAGTCCTGCAGTCTCACACTTCAGCAAACAAACACCTACTGCTCATTTAAATCCTCCAAAATATTAAACTGACCCGAGTTTGCATGTTTACTAAGCAAATATTGTCACATGGAAATGGGCACTGCTGAGATGAATCAAATTCAGTATCTTTAATTATTATTATGATGTGTTGGAAAAAGTTGTATGGAAGAAAAGAATGGGAGTCCATATTTAAATGGGTGTTGGAATGGGATAATCCTTAAGGTCCCTTTCAGTCAAAACCATTCAGATTGCTAATGAGTTGGCTCCTAATCATCATTACAGTAATCCCCACTGTGCCTGGCTGCTGAGGTGTGCTGCAGGAACCCAAACCCAGGCTCTAATTCCTCATTCTTTGCTTATGGATTTTGGCATCTGGGACACACCTGTGTGCATAGAGGAAATTAAAATGGGATGAAAATCTGGCATTTTCACAACTTGATGGAAATACCCCTCCCTGTGCCACCCCAGTTGCTGTGGTGGAGGCACAACAGGCTCTGCTCTCACTCCTCCCAGCAATCAAGAACCAGGCTACAGGACACTATATCCTGAACGGGAAAGGGGAGGAGGCCAGATCCCGATCCTTCATCGACCTGGGCGTGCAGTGGGAATACAGCATCGAGGACGACATCGAAACGCTGCACACGGACGGGCCTCTGCACGACGCCGTGGTGGTGCTGGTGGGTGACGCATCGAGCCCTGGGAACACAGGGCTTGGGGTCTGAAAGGACCTTAAGGATCGTTCAGACCTCAGTGGCTTTACTTTGCAGAGCAGTCAGTAACAGCTCTGGGTTTGTGTCTGGTTATTTGTAGATCATTCCTCGGGAGAACGACACCAGATCCAGCCTGACTTACAGATACATCATCCACGAGGATTCGGTGCCGACCATCCACAGCAACAACGTGCTGCGGGAGGACATGGACACCTTTGAGTGGGCCTTGAAGAGCTGGTCCCAGTGCTCCAAACCCTGTGGTGGAGGTGAGCAAGGGATGGGGCACCTGTAATAAGGGACAAATTACAAAAAAAATAGGAGGAAGGGAATGATTTAGGATTCTTGGCGTTCCTTTTTTAACAGCAGCACAAGCTGTTAAATGCCTGAAGTGCCTGATTGTTCCCAAATGTCACACTTCCAGCTTAGGAAGGAAAAGGCCTTTTTAGATGTTTAAATTCAGCCCCCAAAGCCACCTTGGAAGTCCAGACTCAGACACCGATGCTCCTGAGCGTTCCCTGTATTCATGGTGTGTCCATGGCTCTTAGGCAAAGAATGGGCAATGCAAACCCCAAAATATATTGTCTTGTAAACCCATTTAATAGGCCAGGAAACTCCTATTTAACCAAACATTCTGACAAGCTGTGGTTTTCCTGATTTCTCTGACACGTTTCCCAGGGTTCCAGTACACCAAATACGGGTGCCGCAGGAAGAGCGACAACAAGATGGTTCATCGCAGCTTCTGTGAAGGCAGCAAAAAGCCAAAGCCCATCCGAAGGATGTGCAACCTGCAGGAGTGCACGGAGCCCCTGTGAGTGCAGCCAGGCACAGAGAGCAGGGATTGCTCCAGCCACGTTGGGTGGGATGAATCTGGTGGGATGCTGACGACTTTCCAGCCTGGAGGATATATGTAGGAGGATATATTTCCTGGAGGAAATATGTAGGGGAATTACACAGGTAGAGTGTAAGAATGGGTACTGATCTGACTGGCTGGTTATAGTATATTTAAATTATATATATACACACAGATATATATATACATTTACATCATAAAACCTTGGAATGGTTTGGGTTGGAAAGGACCTTAAAGCTCATCTCATTCCACTCCCCTGCCATTGGCAGGGACACCTTCCACTAGGCCGGGTTGCTCCAAGCCCCATCCAACCCGGCCTTGGACACTCCAGGGATGGGGCAGACACAGCTGGACAACAGGTATGATGGTATCTGACTCCATTTTCCTTTTAGCTGGGCAGCAGATGAGTGGGAACACTGCACCAAAACCTGTGGGAATTCTGGTTACCAGCTCCGCACGGTGCGCTGCCTCCAGCCTCTTCCCGACGGCACCAACCGCTCCGTCCATGCCAAGTTCTGCAGCGGGGATCGCCCTGAGAGCCGCCGGGCCTGCAACCGGGCACCGTGTCCTGCACCTTGGAAAGCTGGACCCTGGTCCCAGGTGGGCAGCAGTGCCAGGGGCTGGCTGGGACACAGGGATCTGTGCGCAGTGCTGTGACACGGAATGTCCTGAACTGCCCCTCAGTGTCTGGCAGTGCTCAGTAATCTCTAGGGGAGAGAATGAACATACTGAGGTAAACTGAGGCAGTCAGTTGTGAAAAGGGAGGGAAATTTCTGGAGGTAAAACTTGAAATGATCTGTAGGGTAGAGAATGAACATTTGGAGGTAAAAATGAGGTAATCAGCAGTGGACTGGGAGGGAAAATTTTTAGAGTGAACTTGAAGTAGTCTGTAGTGCAGAGAAGGAACATTTTGAGGTAAACTGAGGCAATCAGTAGTGCACAGGTAGGGAAACTTTTGGGGCTAAAATCTGAGACAATCTCTAGGGAGAGGCTGAACATCTTGAGGTAAGCTCGAGCAATCAGTATTGAACAGGTCAGGAAATTTTGAGGGGTCAAATTTGAGGTCATCTCCAGGGTAGAAAATAAATATTTTAAGGTAAAAATGAAGTAATCAGGAGTGGACAGTTAGCGAAATTTTGGGGGATAAAACCTGAAATAATCTAAAAGTAGAGAATGAATATTTTGAGGTAAAAATGAGGCAATGAATGGGGGACAGGTAGGGAAAATTTTGGCAGGAAAATCTGAGGTGATCTCTAGGGGAGAGAAGGGACACTTTGAGGTAAACTGAGGCAGTCAGTCACGGACAGGTAGGGAATTCTGGGGAGGGGAAACACTTGATGTAATCTCCGGTGTAGGAAACAAATATTTTGAGGTAAAAATGAAGTAATCAGTAGGAGTGATAACTTTTGAATTAAACTTGAGGTAGTCTATAGCACACAGAATGACTACTGTGAGGTAAACTGAGGCAATCAGTAATGCACAGGTAGGGAAAATTTTAGGGTTACATTTGAGGTAATTACATGGTAGAAAATAAATAATTTGAGGTAAAAGTAATGTAATCAGTAGTGGACATCTATGGAAAATTTTGGGGGTTAAATTTGAGATAATCTCCAGGGCAGAGAATGAACATTTTGAGGTAGAAGTGAGGTAATCGGTAGTGGACAGGTAGGGAAAATTTTTGGGTGAAACTTGAGTTCCTCTGTAAGGTACAATGACTATTTTGGAGGGAAGACCTTAGTTCATCTGTGTGGTCAGTCCTAAGCTGTCCCCTCTGTGTCTGGCAGTGCTCAGTGACCTGCGGGGAGGGGACCGAGAGCCGGCAGGTGCTGTGCCGTGCTGGGGACCGGTGCGACGGGGAGCGGCCCGAGTCCGTCAGGGTTTGCCAGCTCGCTCCCTGTGACGGTAAGAGAATGGGTGGAAGGGCTGCAGTGGGGGGAACAGTTCCTGCCTGCAGAGCACAGTGCTGGCAGTGGGGTCAGGCACAGAATCCAGCTTTTTTCCTGTGTTCGGTCTGGCAAATTCTGGATGTCACAGCTCTGGGCGGTTGGTGCTTCCCTACACTGGGGTCTCTCCTGTACATGTGCACAAAAAGGGTTTAACTGCGTTAGCCCAAGTTGTGCTTGCACAAATTGGGGCCAGAGATGAAAGTCCATCCAAAGCAAACCCTTCTCAACTTCTAAATTCTAGGATAATTCTACAAGCTGCTAATTGAGGGAGCAAAAATACAGAAGAAATGGAACCAAGAGCATTAATAGGGTTCCAGGGAATCCCATTATATTGTTCTCATAGAATTTTTAGCAGATTTTTAAGCTTTATAGGACAACAATGCATTTCTTCCTTTGGATTATTCACTCTGTAGGATTTGGGGTTTATCTGGATTTTAACTCCCTCACAGTGGCGCTGACACTGACCAGGAGCTGGTAGGAAAAACAGCCAGAGCTCCTGGCAGGTACAGAGTGTTTTCTGCCAGAATGGGTCCAGCTGCTGCCCACCAGCCTGGCCAGGATAGGGAATGGGGGACTGAGTTGTGCAGAATTCACCTAAAAAGTAAAAAAAAAGGGATTATATGAGTATATGACTTGCTTCAGAACCTGCTGGAAGTAGAAGAGCACAACCGCAAATCTCTGCCCTGTGGGCGGAGTCATGGAATCTAAACCAGTGTAAACCAATACCCCAAAATGAACCGTGGGAGAACAGGACAAAATAAAGGTCACTGTCACTATGGAAAGGCAAAAGGAATTGTTTGGGACTTGGTTTGTTGTTTTGGGGTGATGCTGGTTGCTGTGATTTATAGAATTCCACACATTTGACTGCCAAAATTTCCCAGCCCAGGGGCTTTCACTGATGCAGCAGCAGGAAAAACATTGTTTTCTATGTGGTGCCAAGATTTGGGTTTCAGTACCAGCTTTGCTAGTTTAGAGGAATTATACATATAGCCCAGAATTCCGTGCTGAATGCCTGCTGGAATAGCCTCACAGTGCCTCATGGAGCACGGATATTCCCCTGAAGAGCTGCTGCTTTAATGCCAGGTTTGTCAGGAACCAGCAAAGGATTCAAGGAAGCTCATAGGGATCAGGCCAAAGACAGGTTTATATTCCATAGGATCTGCTAATTATAACCATCGTTCCCCAGCCCCACTGATGTCCCTGTGGGGAACTTGGTACCGACTTCCCTGGAATTCAGCTGATTTTCACCCCCCGATGTCAGGCTCCAGTTGGTATTTTAAATCAGGAGAAGGTGGTGGCTGTACACATTCCTGGCACATGGTGAGGCAGCACCTGTGCACAGGTGAGGACGTTGCTTCATGCAGGAAGCTGATTTCATTTCAGAGCCTCGGGAGTGGCCTCTGGAAGTTCTTTTCCCAAAGGAAAGGGATGCACATGCCTGCTTTCAGGGCATCTCAGGTCTGACCCATCTGGTAACACTTTCCATTAGTTCTGCACTTCCAGTTGGTCCCTGGAAACTCCAAACTTCATCCAAACAGAACTTTATGCAACAATAACCTTTTATTTTAAGGCATCTCGAAAGGCTCTTGCTTGGGATTTAATTTTTGTGAGTGAAGGTTCCCTTGGCTTTAATGCTACTGCTGAATGATGTCCTCATGCTGGAAGGGCAGGGATTTGGGCTGGGTAGGATGTACCTGGTTGGTGTGTGGGAGCTCTAGGAGGTTTGGCACTGGGAATTGCTGTCTGAGTTCCTTGCAAACACAACGTGCCGACATTTCCAAGTGCCAGCGGGTTTTTTTGGGGCGTTGGTGGGGTCTGTCCAGGGCAAAGCTTCTCAGGGTGCCTGTTCAGAGCCACCCATGGCTGAGGAGCCGTGGGCAGACCTTTATCTGTGCCCGTCCGAGTGCTGCCAGGGCATCCCGGTGCCCATGGCCGGGTTCCCATCCCCAGGATGTTTGTTTTGCAGACGAGCCCTGCCTGGGAGACAAATCCATCTTCTGCCAGATGGAAGTGCTGGCCCGGTACTGCTCCATCCCTGGCTACCACAAGCTGTGCTGCGAATCCTGCGGGCAGCGCAGCAGCACCTTCCCACCTCCCGGAGCTGCCAGGACCGAGGGGGACACACCGTTGGATCCGGGCAGCCTGCCGAGGGCTCCGCCAGTGCCCACCCCTGCGGTGCCCCCCCGGGCTCAGCTCCTGCCCAGGAGCAGTTCCCTGGGCCGGCCGCCTCCATCGACAGAGGAGGCTGAGTGGCACATCCCACCCTCCAGCCCCGAGCCTAAAGGCACCGGTGTTCCACACCGGAGAGCTCTTCCGGCTGGGAAGACTTCCCGGCTCTTGGCTTTGCTGCACCAGGCCCCTGCCAACAGTAGCAGCCTTGGCCCTCGCAGGGCTCTGCCTCTGGTGCCAGCGGAGAACGTGGCAGCAGGGGCTCCTGCACCAGCCAGGACCTCCGGGAACAGCGAGGAGCACCTTGGGAAGCGATGGCCTCCAAGGGCCGGCCCTGTGGATCGATGAACAGGAAGGCTTGTGGAGGACAGCCATGGAAAAGGGGCTTTTTTGGGCACTCCGGGGGGGGATTCCCTGAGCTCTGGACACTCCAGAGTGCACTGTGTGCCCTGGGCAGGACACTGCAGGGCACAGCTCGTCCCCTGGATATACAAAGGACAAGAAGTGCTGGTTCACTTTCTGTTGCTCCGGCCTCCTCCTGCCCTGTGTTCCCTGCCCAGCTGGGATGCACAGAGGAAACCCAAATAACATTCCTGGCAGGGAGTAGGAGTCGCTGAGGGCTCCGTCCAGTCTGGGCCCAAAGGCGGCCCTGACCTCACCCTCCCCCATGATTTTGGGTTCCAAACACTCACCTGGAGGAAACACCCCACTGCAGGCAGGACCAGACAGCAACACTTGACAAAACACCTTTGCCACGGACCAAGGGAGCCCTCAGGACTTGTTTGGCTCATCTATCCCTGGAAAGGGATGTTGCACAAGCACCTTTGCAGCCGTTGAGTAAATCCTGGACAGGGCGGGAAATCAGGGTTATCATAAGAGTTTTGTGCTGTCACACAACTGTTTACCTGTGTTGTTCTGCCCCATGGACATTCCAAGGGGCTGGTGTTTAAAGCAGCATTAGCATAAAAGGAGGGGGTTCATTTGCATAGGAATTGAACTGCTGGCACAAGGGGCTTGGGGGGTTTGGGGCATCATCAGTGCGATGCTTGAAATACGGAAACCCTGTAGATACTGCAAGTGCTGTCCTGGTCCCAGGCCAAAGGGGTTCCCAGCTGCTCCCCACGTCTCTGCTGAACCAGCACCCAGAGGCAAAACAGGTGCCTCCAAGACTTCAAAGAGAGGATTTTTTTCCTGACAGGAAGCATGGATTTCAAGGCCTGAGAGATGTTTCTTTCCAGCATGGTTCACCTCCAAACCTCCCCGAGCACGGCGCATCCGACTGCAATCGTTAATTTATGCCAATCCCCACCTTGTCTCAGCCCCACCGGCCACGCTCCCTCCGGCCCATTGCTGTAAAGGACTTGTAGGGGAGTGAGAGCTACAGATATTTATTAAAAAGTGGATTTCTTGACAGTATTTTATGTACTAAATATTTACGCCGAGGGCAGGTGACTCTTCTTTTTGCCAAGATCAAATCCAGAGATGGAATTAGATGCTGTGTTGTAGGGACAGAATGGAAATTTAAGCTACTAAACTGCTGTAGAGAAATGGTTGATTTATATTCTTTAAAAATATGACAGGGTTTTGTCACAGGCCTCTCATTTCTCAGTGGGCTATTAAAGTTTCACATGCAATTGCTGCCCCCCTGTAAGGAATCCCCAGGACCAACCCATTTAATGCTGTGAAGTGATTGGGGCCCCGAAGATCCAATTCTGGCAACATCCTGGTGCCCCTGTGGGTCCCTCAGAGGAAAGAAGGGTGGCAATGGCTCAGCAGAGGTTTCCAGCCCCCAGTGCAGATAATCCTTGGACCTTTGGATTTCCTTTCTTCCAAGCTCATTGCTCAGTCTGTCAGGTGTCCACTCCTGATGCTGTGTGTGTATTGGGGAGCACATGACAATAAAACCTTCAACATCCCAAGTCTTTCCCTGCTTTGACTCATGTGGCAGGGCCTGGTTTTGGCATTTTGAAGTTTCCTCTTTTGTAGCCATTTCCATTTCAGGCAGGACCCTCCCCATCTGGAAAAAAAGATTAAATATTTCAACTGCACTTCCACAAACATGGGTTTTGCCACTGGGGAGTGTGAGTTGCAGAGCAATGGGGGGAGAGGAAGGAGAGGGTCAGATCTCACCTGGCAGGTGCTGTCAGACAAGCTGCACTTTATTGATTGGAGGGTAAAAAGTCACTGTTTGAAATTCCATGAGTTCTGAGGGCATGGAGGGAAGGGAGAGCTGAAGGCAGAGCTGGGACCAGTCTGTGCCCGACCTGCGGCACGGTCAGTGCCAGCTCCTGGGCCAGGGGTGCTCACGGTGCTGCCCGACGGACACAGGGACAGACAGGCAGCTGCTCGGGTCATGTGCCCCCGGGCGACCCCATGACCCCCCTGCGCCTCCCCCAGACAAGACGCCAGTTGTGATGCACGTGGTGACCCCGTAGTAGCTCTAGGGGGTCCCAGGTGACTGCAGGTGGTCCCAGGTGCCCCCTCCCCAGACCAGAAGATGGACACGACGTATATGCTGACACCCCTGTGCCCCTCGGTGAGCCGAGCGAAGGCTCCCCCTGGCGAATAAAACCCGGGAACTGCGGTCCCAGCGCGCCCCGAGGGCTCTGCCTGCAGTGCCGGGCGGGTTTCGCCAGACGGCGCCACCGAGCCCGTTGGTGCCGCAGCCCCGCCCCGCTCCCCCCGCCCCGCAGGTGCCGCGCAGGGACCGCCCCGGCCCGGCCCGCCCCGCCCCGCAGCCCTTTTCCCGAGCGCCGGCGGGGCCCCAGGGGATGCTTTGGTGTGTGCGGGTCGGGAGGAGCCGGTGAGTGTCGGGGCTGTGCGGGGAGGGGTGTTTTCCCACTGTCTTTGCGCAGGTTCAGCTCTTTGGGAACTGCCCGGGGGGCTGCCGGCCGGAGCCCCCTGAGGATGGGGCTCCCCCCGAGCACGGGGCAACCGCAGCCACCGGTGGGACCAGGTCAGCTGCGGAAAGGTTTCCTCATTGCTCCTATCTCCAAAGCAGCTGTGCCTCGTTCCCAGAGGCCCTGCCTGGGCAAGCCCGGCTCAGCACAGCACCAGGAGAGGCCGCACGGGAGGACGAGCCCGGCCAGGAACAGGACAGAGCACAGCCCCGGGAGAGGTGACACGGCAGGGGATGTGCGGTGAGTGCTCTGACACGGGCTGGGCTGGGGAGTCTGTGCTGGGGGTGTGCGGCAGGATTGGGCCCCTCGTGGCTTTGCGGAGGTGAGAGCGCCTTGTCCGCTGTGTTTATGGACTGGGGGAGCCGGGGGGCGTTTAGGGGCGCGTTGTGTTGGGCAGCGGGGGCCGGGTAAGCCCGTTATCTGCCGGGTGACCCCGGGGGGAGCCGTGGCAGGGCTGCGGGGCTGGTGCTCTCTGGGTGTCTCAAGTTTTGCTTTGAAATTCTAAACCCTTTCCCTGTGCAGGGTTGCGAGGCAAAGACTGCTTTAACTGGGTTTTTTTTGGTGCTGCATTAATGCTTTTTGCTCGTTCTGTGTCAATTTGCAGCCTGGCTCGTGGTTTCTCCTGGTGCTGGTGGAGTGGAGGTGAGTTGTGCTTCCTGCTGGGAGAGAGAAGGGCCTGGGGAAGCTGCTCCATGAACCACAGCTGTGCCGAGCCTGGGAGATTGTCCAGGTAAGAGCAGGGCTTATACTGCCAATGAGGAGCTGGGTTTTGCTGCTGGAAGATAGAATATGCACGTGCCTTTAAATGCAAGGACAGGCAGAAGCTGGGAGGGACCCTGAGCAGGTTTGGTGGCATGACAACAGTTTTAAAAGACCTTGAGTGTGGGGGAAGTGTCCAGGAAAAATGATTCCTTTTTTGCAGGGAGGCAGTTTGCAAGGACAGAGGGGTTGCTGTGCTCTCTAGCAAAAATAATCCCCTTGGGATGTACAGGGTGAGGAAATCTTGGCCACGTGTGGGCTGGAGCAAAGGTGTGTGGGTGCCTGTGTGTGACACCCGTGTGTGTGCAGGAAGGGGGTTCTGGTGCCATTGGAGCTGCCAGGGAGCCAAAAAGGGCACAGCTGTCTGAAAAAGGTGAAAGCTCTGTTGGCCTCTGTTGACACCAGCACCAAAGGAGATGCAAATTTTCCCCCTGTTGGTTGCAGGCTTCACAAAGCTCCCAGGAAAGGAAGGTTTAGATTCCACATCACCTTTATGCTAAAGGTTTCCTTGCTCTCTCAGCAGGATGTCGAGTGCCACCGTGTCCCTGAGGTCACCCTTTCTGCTGTTGGGAGAGCACGAGGTGGATGGAGAGGATCCCCAGGCATCTGCAGGCACAAGGGACTCGTACAACTGTGATTTTCCTACAGCCCTCATAAGGTGGACTTTGAGGGTACCATGGGTAATGTGCCAGCTCTCCTGCTGGAGTTTTTGTTTTCTGCTGTATTTGAATATAAAGAGTAAAACTAAAGTCAGGTCTGTTCTGGAGTATGTTACACTTGTGCAAAGCTCCTTCCCTCTGTTTATTTTCTGTTCTGGAAAGCACAGTCTGGGATTCCTGGGCACTTCCTATTAAATCACTCCATGAAAATAATATTGTACTAAAAGGGGAAAGGAGCTGTCTGTTTGAGATCAGATGTCCTTGATAAAAGCTTTATGTTTTTTCACTCACTAAGCTCTTAAAATATCTCACAGTGTGTAGGACTGCCTGGCTTCTAACACTCACCAATTGAGTTTTAGAGGTTTCTTTGAAGAGCTGATTTCAGGCAGCAAAATTGGCCCCCAGCAGGGACTCTGTGCCTGCTCTCCCGTGGCTCCAAGGGATCTCTGGGCCTTCACGCTGGCACCGAGATTTTCTCGGGAAGGGCCTCAGATCCCCGGAGCAGTCTGGGACACAGGCAAGATCCCCCTGCCTTTATAAATGAGGCCTTCTTGTGGCTTCCTACCCGTACACGTTGGTGGGTTCCAAAGAAGGACTCTTGAAATCCCTTTTGGGACCAAATTGGGCCCCCCTGGAGGGACAGTGCTGTTGGTGCCCCCCGGGCTAGGGCACCCTGAGGACTCCAGCGTGCACCAAAAGGATTATTCGGGGAGATCCTCTGGGTGCCCGGCCCTGGGGAGTTCAAAGCAATGTCCCTGGAATGGATTCAGGCATTCCTGAGAGTATCCCAGGTGTACCTGTCCATGCTAGACGTGGAGCTCTCTAATGGACTGTAACTGGGTTATAGAAGTGGTGCTCCAACTGCAAAAGCAGTGTGGGATTGGGACTAACAACTGAGCAGTGATGGTACAATTGGCTGTTTTCTCTTGAATGTAACTGTAAGAGCTCCAGGAGTGCCAGGTGTGTGTTCCAGTCCCCACCATTTGGTTTGCACATGTCCTGCTCAGACACAGGTCCAACTTCCTCAGAGGGAGAATTAAGGACTGGCGCTATTAAGGTGATTGGTGTGACAGGGGTTAAACTGGGAAAACATTGGGTAATTCCTCAGTTTCTATATTGACCAAACTCACCCAAACCTGTGCTAGGAAGAGATGGACTGGAGTCTCTGATCTCCTGGGCAGTTGTTCTGCATGACCTGGGAGCCTGTGGGATTAGACTGGACTGGGCAGACAGGGAGCAGTTTGTCCTGTGGAGTTGGGATGGGTTTGTTCAGAATGCCTTGGGAGGCAGGGCTGGAGAGGCTGCTCTGTTGGCTGTAGTGGTGGAAGGTTGTAGCAGGAGGGATGGAGCCTTTGACCTCCTGCTCCCCCCGTGAGCCCCGACGGGACCGTGCACTTGGCAATGGAGGGCCCCCCATTGCTGAGTCAGCGGTTCCGGGGGCCAGCAGGGATGGGATCAGGATGCCGAGCTCCGCCCAGGGCCAGGGCTTCAGATGTTGCACCCATGGAAAGAACTGAAAGCAGAGTGAGATGGAGGCCGAGCTCCAGCACAAGGATGGGTGAGAAAAGACCGTGGTCCTCAGGTGGAGCTTTGAATTCCCTGGAAAAATGGATCCTGTCAAATGGTTCAGGCCCTTGTGGGTGCTGGAGCAGAGGCCTCTTTAATTTATGGTCACCCTAAACAGTTGCAAGGACAGCAAGTTTTGACTGCAGGATGAGGTGGGAAACCAAGTGAAGTGGTACAGAGAAAAGCTGAGCTTAAAATTGGTCCTGTGGCAGAGCAGCCCTGTGCAGTGCTTGTTGCTGTCCCTGAGTGTCCCATTGCAGTGGATATTTCCAAGGGCTGCCTTGTGCTGGGGAACACTGGGGGCAGTTCCCTTTCCCTGGGCAGGGCAGGCAGGGCATGTTTCCCCCCACTCGAGGGTGGCTCCACAGTCCCACCCTCTGCCCTGGGAGCCTGGCAGAACACCTGGAGCCACTGTCCTTGCCAGAGAGGGGACAAGGGATGGTTGGATCGATGAGGGAATGGTTCAGGGAGTATAAGCACCATTAGAACGAGTAGTGCAGGACATGGAAAGGAAGGGGTGGAGTTAATCCAGACAAAATTCAAGCACCTGCCCAACCTGTGATATTTTAGGAACTCAGTGGCGTTGTGGTCACCAGGAAGTATTGCCCAGGACTAGGCAGGAGACTTCAGACTTGGTCACCCCCAGAGCAAGGTGGAGGCCCAGCAGTTTATTGGTTTGTTTGGGTTCTGGTGACAACAAGGTCCTCCTTTGGGACCAATCCTTGGCCCAGGCCATGAAGTCCCAGGACAGAAGTGTGAGTTTGAGTGGGAAATGAGCAGCAGGGAGGGTTGGAAACAGCTCAGGGAGCAATTCAACAGGCTCTGGATCTGTGGCCAATCTGAGGGGGAACTAAAGGTTCCTGCCAGTGATAACGATGCCAATTAGAGCCTCTGGCAGAAGTAGGGTGGGAAGGAAGCGCCCTTGAGGTTTGGGAATAGGAAGTTGCTGGAAGCCAGCCCAAGAGAGACCCTGTTGGAGAAGTGGCTCTGAGTATGTTCTTGGGCTTTAGTGGAAACTTAACAAATGGTAAGAGGGCCTGAAATCCCCATAAGGCCTTGGGTAAAAAGCTCCTCCCAGGACACACAGGCCAGGCCATGCTCAGGAAGGCAGCATCATGAAATGGAAATGGTGTATCCAAGCCAGAGCCAGAGCAGGGGTCGGGGCAGGAGCGAGGCCTCGTGAGGGAGTTGCCAACGGCCCTGTGGTTGAAGCAACAAGTGCAGATCCCCTGGGCAGTGAGCACGAATCACTGGGGAAATGGGGAAAAACCCCAGAGCAAGTGCTGGGAGAAGAGGAGCATGCATGGCTCACTGCTGAGTCAACCAAATCTGTCAGTGGGAAGCACTTTTGGAAAGCAGGAGCTTATAACCCATGCCAGAGTGGGTTCAAAATCACGATGGGGGGAGGCAAAAGTAGCTCGTGTGCTGAATGAGACACTGTACCTGTGGGAATTAAACAGGAAGAACTAGGGCAGTGTCAGATTTGTAGGGATTTGGGGTCAGTTGGCAGTGGTTTGGCTACTTGGCTCCCAGCTGTCACCATCACGGAATTAGGGATTAAATGCAGACAAGGAAAATGGGAATAAGTTCCTGTGAATAAATATTAGTGGAGGGAATGATATTGCCATGTTTTAGCTTGATATTTTACAGAAACTGTGGATCCTGGCCATCCTCATAGCCCTTGTGGTCCCTCTGGGCGATGCTGTTGGCCCCGGGCAGTTCCCTGGAAAAGGTGCCTGGGTGGGGTGACTTGGTTGGATTTGGATGGAGATGGAAAAGCAGCTCCGAAACAGGACACCGGGACAACGTGACCTGGGAAGCAAATGGACCTTGCCCAGGGGTCAGTGTCACTTTATGCCTGGGGGGACTCTATGGAAGGGCCGGGGTCTGTCGGGCTCATTGTGCAGGCAGCTGTTGGTGCCCCTCAGTGGGATTGTATGGATGTGATTCCATGGGCTGGGAGCACTGTTGCCATACAATGCTCTAGTTTCCCTTCCGGGGTCCGGGGGGTCTCCCTGGCATCGTTGTCCCCCTTGTGTGAGTGGTGCCAGTCACAGCCACAATGTCACAGCAGCGGTGCCTCCCCTGGGCTCTGCCTGCTGGGCTGTTCTGGGGAAGTGCTGCCAAAAGAGCAAAGGGATCAGCTTGGGCAGGGCATGGGACAGTTTGGCATCATCCTCCCGAGGAGAATATTGATCAGACTGTTGGGTACCTGCTGCCTGTGTCCTGCAGCCCAACATCATCAGGATAATAGAATTCCTTTCCCCATTCTTCTTCCAGTGCTCCCATCTTGCCCTAGACAGCGAGGCTGGGGGGACACAGGACTGGGAGGAACGGGAGCTGGTATTGGATTTGTAGACAGTGGAGACATGGAATCGCTTGGTAACCAATGGCAAAGAGCTGGGCCAGGTGTATCCCAAGAGCTGAATTTAGGAGCACAAGGGATGCCCACTGTATTTACCCCCCACCCTTCACTCCAGAATGTGATGGTGAGTTTGGGCAGCTCTGTAATGGTTCCCCAAGCTGTAATTGTTGTGCACAGGGGAACACCACTAACTTATGAACTGGGCTGAGTACACATGCCATAGTGTGTATATTGTAATGCAGAGAAATGAGGCAAGAACGACTTAATGAGAACCAGTGAACTGAGCTGGAGGACTGCATTCACATCCTGGATTGCAAAAATTAACTGGATTTTGTCTTCTGAATCGCTGCAGTGCACCAACTGATATCATGCTGGAAAAATAACACACTTCAATGTAAGTAAACCAGGGATTTTTGTATGTAAATACAAAATTATTGCCCTGCAAATTTAAAATAAAACTTGACTTGATCACCAAATGCAAACAGTAAATATAGGGGTCAATTAGTGACCTTTGGGCATCAGGTGGAACAACTCACTGCTCACCACTGGTGGGACATATTTACAGGATTCTCACCACCTGCTACAAAGTTTTAGAACACTTTAATCCATCCACTAATCACAGTCATTATACTGATTTTATGAACAATATGGAGTTGTTGTCTATGGTATCAATTACAAGAAGTTGTTTCTCGTGTGTCTCTGCCCTGCCCAGGGATCAAAGGACCAAAGGGAAAGGATGAGAAATTCCCTGAGAATTGAGCCCCGGGGCTGCTGCCCCTGAGGAGCAGGGTAAGGGCTGTGTGTGCTCAGGGGCCCTGGCTAAAGGCTGCAGGTGCTGTGAGCGTGTGCTGGGGAGAGGCAGGAAGGGTGTGTGCAGCTGTTCCGTGCCCTCCACCCTTGGCCCCACCGGGGCGCCTGGCCACCGCTCCAGGGGTGGCCAACGGGGAGCTCATGAGAACCTGCCCGTGCCCACGGCCCCACAGTGCCAGCCCCTGGCTCCATAACTTGAGAAGATGGTGTTCCTGCACGCCCAGCTGCTGTGGTGGTGGTCCTGTGGGCACCTCTTGCCCTGGCCTGCTGTGAATGTGTTTGTGTTGCAGCTCAATAAAGTCCCTTTCAGTGGTGATTGTGTCATTTTTGTGTCGGTTCATCTCCCCTTATCCCCTGCCCCAGTGGCTGCATCCCTGGCTTGTGCCTAAATGAACTCTTCCCCTGCAGCAGTTCCCTGCTGCTCCCAGAGAGGTGGAGCTGAGGCCCCTGAGCAAAGGGGAAAAGGATCCATCCAAGGCAGGCCCGTGCTCACCCCCTGCATTCCTCCAGCCTCCCTGCTGGACACACAGCCTGTTCCCAAACAGCCCCTGTTCCTGTTCTCTCTCTGTGTCTCCCCTCACAACTCCCCTCCTGTGATCTCCAGCTGCCCAGGCCCCTGTTTTTGAGGGGCATTCCTGGGCTGCTGCCCCCCCGTTCTTTATAAATGAAGTGCCAAGAGCCCCAAGTGCAGAGAGGTCTGCAGGGAATCAGTGCCAAGAGCTGCCTGTGTCTGCCTGTGTTCCCTGCAGTTCTCCTTCCTGTTCTCCCCTGGGCTGGAGAGACCTGCCTGCCCTGTGTTCATTGGAGCAGAGGGATGGGATTAAATTTGTCCAGAAGGTATGTTCACAGACACTCATTTTCTGACAGGCAGGACCATTTTCCTTTTGCCTTTCCCAAGTGCTGCCCAACACGGGGATCCGTGTGCTGGGACAGTGATTGGCAGGAGGAAGGGGAGCCTTGGCCTCACCTGCCCAGCTCAGGTGGGTGGCCCAGAATTGGGGTGGGCTGGCAAGGCATGAACATATTTCTGAGTTCTGGAGTGCCTTGAAACCTTTCCCTGTCAGGTTTCTCTCCCTCGTTTCCTGGGGTCCAGCATCCCAGGTGTCTCTTCCTTTGTCCAAAGTCCAGTGGCAGAGGATTGACTAACTCCCAAGGGGGGTTTGGAATGAAAATGATGCTGATCAAATGGGGCAAGGAATGCAGTAAGAAAAATGAGCCTCCTTTTAGTGCCTGAAGTAGAGAGAAATAAAAATGCTGGAGAAGGTCCCATTTTATTTGGTGTCCCCCCTGGATTTTTCATGGCTAAAAGTCTCTAGTGAGCAATTGAACAGAAGGGTGAAGGATAGGAGCCTTTGACTTTCCCAGTGCACTTAATTGCCTTGTTCTCCTCTCTTCCAGGCCAGGACAAAGCCCTGAATGCAGCCCAGCTCTGCCAAGTGCCTTGGGGTGTGAGCAGCCAAAGGCAAGAGGCTGCAGCCCCGCTGGCCGACGCTGGGGGCTCCTGGTGCTGCCCGTGGGGTGGGGGAAGTCAGAGGGACACATTTCTCTCCTCCTGGCTGTTGGCATTTGCTCCCTGGGCAGTGGATGTGTAAGGAAGGATGGAGTAGCAGGGAAGGGGAGTATTTCCAAACTGTATGAATGTTGCCCCCAGGTTTGGGATGGAGCAGTGATGGGGGTGGTTGGGTTTGGCCTGGGCCAGTCAGGATCTGCCATAAACGACCCACCAGACCCTGAACCCTCACTGGACATGTCCAGCCCCTCAAGTCATTAATTTTCAACAGAGGACAAATGATTGGTACTTGCTTCTAATCTGTGGAGAATTTCCTTTGGAATGATCAACCAGAGAGTGTGTCACTGCAAAGCATCTATTTGGGTCTTTTGTTTGTTTGTTATTTCCTCTCTGGCTTAAATGAGTTTGATGTCCTCCTGTTAAGGAAGCAACCTGTTTTTATCTTGAAATTTGGAGTGGTTTGGTTTGTTTAGGGTTTTTCCCCCACTGACTCGGGCCTTCCGTGCATAGTCCGTGTTGTCCTACAGGACTGCTTTGCTTCTGGGTCAGAGAGAGAGAAGGGAAGTGGCTTTTCCTCATCTTGAATGTTTCCAAGCAGAAGTGGGGCATTGTCCTGCCCCTCCCCAAAGCACTGCAGGCACCTGGGAGTAGCTCAGGGCTGGCCCAGTTCTCTGAGACAGAACCATGGGGGAGAGGTTTAAGTACTAATCACATCTCTGGTGTCACTTGGTTGCAAAGATTGGGTCCTACAGTCTCAGAGTGTTAAGGAAAACAAGGAACTTCTGTTCTTCATGGCAAACCTTCTGCTATTCCTTGTGCAGTCTTTGAGTTCTGTTGTCCGAGTTCCCATCCAGGATCTTTCTAAGAGAACCTGTTAGAAATTTAGAGGTAGGATTAGAATTTGGGTCTGCTGCCTACCCAACTGCCTCCAAATCCTGCTGGACTGGAGTGATGAGTGCTCTCAGCACAGGTTATTTCTTAATATTGTGTGGCTTTCCCTCAGCTCTGGGTGAGGAATTGTGCAAGCAAGGCCTGTGTGCCCGTGGGTGTCTCCCGTGTGTGTCCGTGTGGCAGGGCTGGGACAAGGACTCGTGCAGGGACCGAGTTGGCACTGGAGCTGCTGCCATTCTGAGCTATTGCCAAGGGGTGGGTAGAGACCATCTGGGAGGCTGTTCCCAGGATTCCATTGGTAGCTGGATCTCCCTCCAGCTGCAGCAGTCAGGGGAGGGTTCTCCTTGTCCAGCCCAGTGGCTTCTGCTCAGCCTGGCCCAGAGTGGGGCTGGGGCAGGTTCTCCAGGGAACTGGAGCCAGCCCTGAACGGGGCTCTGGAAAGCAGGGAGCTGCAGGGACTGATGTTTGCAAAGTTGGGGTGAAGTTTGTCAAAGCAGCAGAACATTCTCATTCTTGTGGGTTTGTGGAGTCCGTGTTGGTGCCCAGGAGAACTGGGTCAGACTGGGTTTTGTGGTCCGAGAGCTGCAGCCCTAAATTTGGCAGGCTGTGTGTGATGGAGGTGAAGTGGTATCCCCAGAGGCTGATGGTTTCTGTCTCCAGGTATGCCCAGGACACTGCTAATCCTGAGGGATCTGCTCTGGGTCCAGGCTGTCCGTGCTGGAGTGCCCTGGTGGCTGCAGTCCCTGAGCCCGCAGAGACAGAGAGAGCCCCGGCCCGAGTGGCCTTTGGCACCTTGTCCTGAATTTGGGGTGAGCCTGGGAGCGTGTGGAAGGTGAGAATGAGGGCTGTGTTTCCAATGCATCATCCCTGGGAAGATCCTGTTGTTCCAGAGCGCTGGGGACAGTTTGGGCTTGGCAGCTTCAGAGCTGGGTTGGAGCTATCCCTGGAAAGAATCAGGAGAGTGGAGTTTTGTCCCAGTGGTGCTTTCACACCCCACTTGACAGTCTGGGCTTTGTGTTTGAGGTTGTCCTGTATTTGCTCTGCAGATAATGTGCCCTTCCCAATTCAGCCCAGCAGATCCCAAGGGCTCTGACGGGAATATTTGTTCTTTCCTTCCCTTTGGGATAACTTCATCTCCAAACTGCCAGGAGCAATTCCTTAATTTCTCCTGGAGAAAACCAAGTGTCAGAGGCAGTTTGCCAAGGAGGCCAGAAGTGTCTTTGGAGCAGAGAGTGCTGCCAGCTCCGTGTGCCTGTCCCCAGCCTGGCACTGGCCACAGGGACACACTGGGCACAGACCATTAGAGGGAACAAAACCACTGCCTGCCACAGGGTTTGTCCTGTGCCAACCAGGCCTTGGGCAGGAATTGGACTGGGCAACTCCATCAGCTGCTCTTCCCCCACAAAGCACCATCCCCACGGGCATTAATGACGTGCCCTGTGCCCACCGCTCACCGTCCACCCAACTGAAACCAAAGCAAGGCTTGCTTTGCTTTGAACAACTTAAAATAGCTTTAAAACAAAATAAATCACTTGTTTCTTCTTTTTTTTCTTTTAGATGCTGGAATTGCCTCTCTGGGTGTATGCTGAGCTCTGGCTGCAGGGGACTGTCAGGCCTTGGTGGCTGTGAGTTCATGTTCTTCTCACTGGGAAACTGGAAATAGTTCTTCATTAGATTGCAGAAATGTTTTCTGAAACCTGTCCCCTTCTTTGTGCCTTTTGCTGACAGATCTTCTCTTTCTGCCTTTGCATGTACAGCTGTTCCCTGATGTCCATTCACTGGCCTGAATTCCTTGCAGCTCCCAGCTGGGGAAACCTGGGATAACATGGCAGGGACAGAGGTAACATTTGTAGCTGCAAACTTGGGGTAATTTCGAGGGGACACAGCAACTGTTTCTGTAGGAAAAGGTGAGGTGCTGCAGAGGGGAGGGAGGTGGCATTTTGGAGGGGTCCCACTGAGAGGGGAGTGGAGAGCCTGGGGCTGGAGTGTGAGTTATTAAACAGGGAACAAGGGAAGGATGCTTTGGAGGGAAACACTCAGGGAACGTGTAGGGATGGAATGGAAATTTGGGACGTCAGGAAGGGAAAATCGGTGATGTAGAGGAAGGGAAATGTTGGGGGTAAAACTTGATCTCATCTGTAGAGGGCAGAATGACCATTTAGAGGTAAAGTGAGGCAGTCAGTGTTGGGCAGGTAGGGAAAATTTCTGTTTGTAAAATTTCAGGTGCTCTGTAGCAGAGAGGATGTACCTCCTGATGGACACTGAGGCAGTCAGCACTGGGCAGGAAGGGAAACCTTTGGGGGCAAAACTTGAGGTAACGTCCAGGACAGAGAATGAATATTTTGAAGGATAAATGAGGTACTCAGTGGTGGAGAGCTGGGGAGTGTTTTAGGGTAAACTTGGGTTAGTCCACAGGGTGGAGAATTAACATTTATTTGTACAGAGGAGCTGATTACATGTGGGTAGGTAAGGAGAATTTTGGGAGTAAAATCTGGGCAATCTGTAGCAGAGTGAATGAATATCTTGGTGTAAAGTGAGGCAAGTCAGTGGTGGGCAGGTAGGGAAAATTTCTGTTTGTAAAATTTGAGGTCACATGGAGCAGAGAGAATGTACATCATGAGGTAAACTGGGGTAATCAGTTGTGGACATATGGGGAAAATTATAGGGGTAATGTCCAGGGGACAGAAGGAATATTTTGAGTTAAAACTTTGGGGGTTTTGAACGAGGTTATCTCCAGGGGAGAGAAAGAACATCATGAGGTCAGCTGAGGTAATCAGTGGTGGCCAGGAGGGGACATTGAGGGCAGAAATCTTTGAGGTAATCTCCAGGGTCCAGAATGAATCCTGAGAGGTGCAGAGGAGGCACTCAGGAGTGGACACCACAGCAGGCCCAGGGAAGGTTCTGGGGGTAAAATGTGTGGCAGTGTCTGGCAGAGAGAATGAACATTTTGGGATAAACTAAGGCAGTCATCAGTGGACAGGTAACACTTGAGAAACTCTCCAGGGTCGAGAATGAATATTTGGAGGTCAAAAGGAGGTAGTCAGAGGTGAGCAGGTGGGGAAAGTTTTGAGAGTAAACTTGAGGTGGTCTGTAGGGTAGAGCATGAACATATTGAGGTATACATGAGGTGATGAGATGTGGAGAGGTAGGGAGAATTTTGGGGGTAAAATCTGTGGCAGTGTGCAGCAGAGAAAAGGAACATTTTGGAATAAAGTGAGGCAGTCAGTAGGGGAGAGGCTGAGAAATTTCTGAGGGTCAAACTTGAACAAATCTGCAGGGCAGAGAATGAATATTTGTAGGTCCAAAAGAGGTAATCAGGAGTGTGCAGGTAGGGAAGACTCTGGGGGTTAAAGAGGAGGTAATCTCTAGGGCAGAGAATGACTCCCTATGAGTTGAGTGTGATTTGGATTTCTCCCTATACACACTCCCTATTGGGGCAACAGCTTTGCCTACCAGTATTGTCAATTAACTTCAACTTACAGAACCCAAGACAATTACGCTAATAAAAGAGCCAGGAAAAGTAGCTTTGCACTGAGCTGCACCAAAAAAAAAGGAGGTCACTTAACAAAAGACTCTACAGCAAGTCTCAGACTACTTACAAAATCTTCCACTCCTGCTGCTTTATCGCCCATCCCCCTAAATGTTTGTCAAGAGGTTTAGCAGTGGTTTTTCCAGTAACATAGGTCTATATACTTTCACATTTTCTACAGCACAGTCCACTTTAAACCAGATGCTAAGCAATGTCAAGGAAGCAGGTACCTGAATTATCAGGGCACCAGGATACAGCTCCCAGTTTCATTCCTGAATGGACTTAGTGTTAAGGCATTTAACAACTGTGTAAACATCACTAGAGTGCTCTGAGGGAATGATCTCCAGCAAAAGCCCATTTCTGTAGGAAGCTGACAGGTGCAGAATCATGCTAGCTAGCCAGCTTCTGGGAAAAAGGAGTTTTCCTTAACAATTAGATATGATGCTGTCCCAGCCAATAAATCCCAAAGCTTCCCCCTCCCTTAAGCACTTGACTGCTGACAGAGTACACAGCCTGTCATAGCAAATCACCCCAACTTGCATCCTGCTTAGTGAATACACCAGACTGCAGGAAACTTTAGCCTATAAGGTAAAATGAATCCCAATTCCCCGTTTCCCACACCATGAATACTTGGCAAAAACAAAGCTTGATGTCATTATTGGGTGGGTGTCAGCAACTTGTTTAAGTGAGCCATTTGATAAGATGTAGAGCTTCCTGCGGCGTTGCTGCTGTTTGGCAGTGTGTTCCTTTCTCACAAGGTGGGGGCAATCTGGTCAATTTATTACGGAGAAAAAAGGGCAGTTATTCTGCCTAGCAAGTACTTCTGCTCCCTGCAGGCCAACATCTGGATTGCATTATCACTGAAGCCAAACCACTTCACAGATTGGGCCTAGAAAAACATCAAGGAGCTACCAGACAGATGTGTTTTGCAACCCTCTACTATGGTGTGAGCTTCAGAATTTGTGCAAATACTGTTTTCTGTCATAGACAACCTTTACATATATAATATCGGTCATCTTCCACAAGTTTTCTTTCCCTAAGTCATCTGTTGTTTATAGCTCATGCTAAGGGAAATACAGCCTATCAATAAACAGAACAATCCCCCAACTATTGCTCTGATTCTCACCACGTTTCTCAACCAAATGACTCACCAAGTTCATGTGTGCAGCTCTAAATGAAATAAATCAAGGGACTAAATGAAAAAAAAAATTATTGCACCAAGCACAACTGTAAATTGAAAAAACTTTCACTTTGACAGCTTTCATGTCAGAGTTCTAGTGCCAATTCTTATTAATCTTATGAATAGGAAAGGAAATACAGAGGTGAGAGCCTGAACCAAGCCACCTGATCTAGATGAATACTTCTGTGTCCAAACAGGATGCTGCAAACTTCTGACGTGCCATTCTCTACATTGCCTGTGGAAAGGCAGCCCCAAAATGCAGCAGATATACTGCCCTAGCCCTAGAATCCAGCCATGCTTCAGGAAAGAAACAACAGGGCTACTAACCAGATTGTAGTCCAGAGGAATGGTATAAGATTTGCCTCTGTGGGAGTCTGTGATATTCTTTAATGCCTATCAAGTTTCCACTGTGTGGAAGTAACCCTTGATTTTTCAGTAAAAAGAGATGAAAATGTCTTTATGTATCTTTAGATCTTCATTAAGCTGCTACATCTAGCAAGAGATTTTTCTGAAGCACCTCAGAGGATTGGACCATTCAGTTTCTCTTGGTTTAATTGAGTATTCAAATCCCCAGCCACTTTTGAAAATTGTGTCTTTAAAGCTACATTCATGCATAGGTGACTCAGCTACAGAAATGGTAACACTATCTCAATTTATGAAAAGAAATTACTCTATTGAAGCCTCACAGGCAATCCCCTGGGGTGGGAAGGAAGCACAACCTGGTGTGAGTATGAAAAGAGAAAAGGTGTATGTAAAGCCTACTGAAAGCTACAAGTGTCACAGCAGAGCAATCATGGATTTCTGTTTGAAGTTCGCAAGTGTAATGCATTTCCACAAATTCAGATCTTATTCACAGACTTTATCTTCAGATTCTATCTCAAAAACAGAGTGAAACCATTTATGGAGCTCTTCTTTTATCTTCTTGCTTCAGATATGCACTGAGTGTTCTTGCTCTTTCATCAGAGAAAAGGTTTGCCTAATATCCCAAATAAGAAAGGGATAATAACATCAACAGTTAAATAAAACAGACACAGTGTTGTGTTCCAAGATTTACAGGTGCCTGAGAGGAAGATGTGTCCTTCCCTCTCCTGTCTTAAAGCAGAATGAAAGTGACAGGGGGAGATTCCTCTGTGGAAGAGACAAGGGGCTAGAAAGTTTGTCAGCTGAAAGGCAAATGAGACTGAACCATTTGACTTTTCATGGAGATCTCCCCCCACCTCTGGAAGGAGCCGGCACAGCATGGATGGGTGTCCTGTTAACTCCCTTGCTGATCTGCCTATAACATGGCATGACCTCAAGCTTAGCACATTCTGACTCTCAAGCACAAGCTGGGCACACTCAGGTAGTTGTGTTCTTTCATTTTCTTCTCTTAAAAGGAAAATTCTTACTATCAGTATTTAAGCAGTTCATATAGTGCCCTACTTCACTCAGGAGGGCTGATGACTTTACCACAAAGCATTTATAAACCAGAAAACACAGCTAAATGGAAGAAAAACTTCCTGCAACAAGAGAAGGATTTGTTCACCACGGAAAGAAAACATTTCAGTCTTGTGTTTGGGAACCTGTACTTTCTTTCATCACAAATGAGAGGGCACTAACAAAGCAGAACATGGACAGGATATTAATGTTGGCAAAACAGGGTGTTTTAGTGGTCCCCAAAGTGCTTTTTACCCCCTACCCTAAGCCAGCCTCTAAAGATGCCAGATGAGCAGTGCCTGGTCTGCTCACCTGGGTGCCTACCCTTCCAGAGTGTGAATGCCCTTTCCTCACTGCCCCCAGTCAGCTGTGCCTTGCTCGGCCCACGTGTCTGCTGGGTGCACTTAGTGCTGTTCTGCAGCTGACTTCTCCTGGGCAGTGGTTCTCTTTTCCAATACCAAATCACTGCCTTCAAGCTCTGCAAAATCGCTGTTTTCAGGGGATGTGAGTTTTCCGGCGCTGGCAGATACTTCAGCCTTCCTAAAGGCTCGGAAGACACGAGCAGTGCAGCACATGGGCAGAACTCTTTTGCAGTGGATCCTGTTCTGCCGGTGCAGAGTCACTTGTCAAGGACAATAGCTGTTGGCAGAGCATTAATATGACAGAGTTGGGCGTGCTGCCAAGGAAAACACTCTTTTGTGGTTTATGCAATGTTTTGCTGGCCTGTCATTTTGAGATCGCCATTGACGGCAAACTGAAAACTGCCTTTCACCATTATTAGA